GGTGTGTTTTTAGGTGGTAATCAGCATAGTGGATTTTAATTTATTTCATGTTACATAAAAGGTAAAAAGAGACTAAGTTAAAAGCTTTTATTAATAGATAAAAGCTAATATATAGCAATAGCACCAACAATGATAAATATGTAGCCATTTATAAGTACATATAATTAATGATTAATAAATAAGGCAACATGTTGAATGTAACACACTGAGTTAATGTTTTTGTAGCTCTCATTGGGTTTACATGGCAAGGTTGTTTAAATAAGATTGCGAACCATCAGTTCTAGAGACAATCTTTTCAATCGGGGATATAAGAACAGATTTTATTGTGTTTAATGGTTCATGGTGTAACCATCAGCAGCTGGAGGTTGGTGTGTACAGTTGTCTGTAGCTTGAAATATCCAAGTAATACAAAGGAAGTAAACTTGAGATACATTTTAAACATTTGGTTTCAAAAAGCAATGAAAACATGTCATTGACATAAAAACAGTATTCCACTTCCACTCTTATTTTGCCATGCTTTCTGACTGATGCATTTTCTCTAAAGGCTAAACTCTCATGCTTCTTCTGTTTGTTTTTAAGTCAGTGTGGCATGGCAGAACAAGGGCAAAACACACTGATAATGTATGATGTCCATCAGAAGATGCACTTTCAAGTTTTCAAATTAGTTACTCTCATTCTTCCTGTGGTGTGGTGTCCAGTAATATTTCTTTATATTGTTTTATTCCCACTAGGGCTGGGCAATAAATCAAAAATGTATCGTTATCGAAATTTCTGACTATTATCGAGATAATTTTTCCCATGTCAATATATTTGATAATAAAAAAATTAAAAAAAGTGTGTAGGTTGGCAACCTTCGTGTCCCTTTAAGAAGCTGTACCACCTTGAGGCACGTAAAAATGGCCGTGATCAAGATGAGCCGTTTCTGCGCAGATTAGATCACTGGTGATCGGTGTAAAGTGCTTGCCAGTTAGATTTGTGTCCGTCTGCTCTCGTCTCTTTTCCAGGCGAGGTGCTGCTCAACTGAACAAGGCCAATGTGACTCAACGCAATACATGTGACAGCCCCATCTAGTAGACATCTTTTGCTTCTGCGCATACCTGTAGTTATCGTCTATTTATCGTTAACGAGGTGAAATCCTCAATATATCGTGATATTGATTTTAGACCATATCGCCAAGCCCCAATTCCCAGGAATCAGTGCTCTGAAATAAATCTATTTTATTTACACCGACTCGTTTGAGCTTCCAAAGCAAATCTCCGCTTTATAGCTGAGAGGAGAACATTCACTTTATTTTGTCGGTCTCTACATGTATTCTTTAGTATAATTAAACAAAGATGATTTTGTCCCATTATGTACACTCTTGTGTTTTGTTTAGGTCTACCACTCAACAGTTCAACTCTGCCGACTGTTTATAGTAATCAAAGTTTTATTCTCCTTTAACTGAGCTTTGGATAATCTTTTCCAACTCAATGGAAAGTTAAAACTTATTTCCCATAATACAGCAGCCTTAAATGTTTCATTAGGCAGTGACATCAGGTCCAGATGAAAGAAACGCAGACTCAAATGGAGTTCAATTGGTTACGTTTCCCAAATCACAACATTTGTGTAATCTTAGGAACACAGCATGGCTCTGAAACAGCCGGTACATCGTCACTGAGGTGGTTCCAAAACCTCTTTCAAGTATCCCTGCTGTGTCAGCTGGTGGGGTAGTTGGAGCCTCTTGTTGACCTGGCCGCACAGCGCTGGACAGTGCTCAAGAAGCAGCAGACACACCTCTTTATGACCCCGTTCTGCAGCCTGTTTGAAGATTAAATAAAGAAACAAAACCAGGCTATGGTTATGTCATTGTAAAACTGTTAATGTTGTTTCATTCTGATCTTGTGTATATAGTTGTACTTTATGTAAAGGGGATGCACCATCATCATCAGAGAGCATCGGATCTGCTCTGTGTTGCAGAAGAAGTCTGACCACATCCAGGTGACCACAGTAAGCAGCTCGAAGGAGTGGCGTGGCCCCACCTGGTGTTTGGGGCGAGGCACATGCACCATTCTCAAGAAGAAATGCACATACAGCAAGATGTCCACTGCGGCTCCCATAGTGCTGAGATCATACACAGGTAATGGGATGGAAATCTTCAGCAGTCTTTGTTGAATGATTTTTCAGTTACAGCAAACTCACCAGAGCTGTATACCCCGCAGAGTCTCTTAAATTTGGGTCTATGCCCTTCTGAACAAGGGACCTGAGCCTGTCCAGGTCTCCATCCATAGCAGCAGACCAGATACCTGCAGAGGGATGAAGTAAGGAATAAAACTTTGCCTAAAGCCAGAATTAATTAATTTAGACATCAACACTTCAAACATGATCTCTAACTCTGCAGTGGAACACAGAAATAACAATTCTGGATTAAAAATACAAACCTCGTTCAAAATCCATTTCCTCCAGCGTCTGATGAGCAGAGACGGGATTAGAGCAACACGAACAATGCTGTTTAGCAGACATTGCGTTAACTAGCAGCAAACGAGATTCAAACTCGAGGTTAAGGCGAGTTTGTGTATTTTTGCCAAAATAACAAGTCGCACAAACTTGTTGTGAATGTTTTCTCAACTGGAAGCAGTCTTTCAATGGAATTATTAGATAATCTGACGTTCAATCATACACTAATAAAATATATAACACATTTACTCGTAAATAAATCCTAAAAACGTGAACCGCAGCTTACATTTTACAGCAGCGCTACTCTTTTAGCAATTAGCAACAACTCCGCCTGACGCACGAAACGTGCTTACGTATATTGTGTTAGCCAATAGCTGTTTGAAGAAGAACGTTGCCTTCAATTGTTGTCTGAAATTCCCACTTTTAACAACTTTTACGTCGCAACCGATGGTCGCAACTGCAAGTCGTGAATGGCTTTTCAGTTTCTGTAAAATCATAAAGCCAAGAAATATGTATAGTTATAATTTCTAAAATCACATTCAAAATGTTTATTGCAGTATAATAAAATAAAAATGTTTTTTATGCAATCCCTGAGTATATCGTTTCTTAACATGCAATCCCTTAGTATATTGTTTCTTAACAACAGGAAAAAATTGCAGAATTACTCCAAGTAAATGTTTGGGCAGTACGTAAAATATGTCTCATGTCTGGGTTTATGGAGGGTTGTATTAGAAAAAAAATCTCAAAATGTATTTTTTCCCTAAAAGCTCTGAATGCCTCATTGGTCTCGTGTTGTTGTCAGATGGATGTAGCTAGCTGTTCGGCTTTATTGGGTTAGAGTTAGCTGCCTGAAGAAAAATAACGTTTTTAATGTTTTTGTTGAAAATTTCTTTATACCAAAGCGTACAAAAGGATGAGAAGAGTCACTTTATTTGTCAATGGAACTTCTAAAAATGGAAAGGTGGGTAAATATCCGCGTGTTCAGAGCGCGAGCCTCTGGGCCGCAGAACAAACATAACCTGGATCCTGATGTCAAACCAACACTTATCTGTAACATTACAAGTTAACTTGAATTACCACACTTAATATTTCACCTGAAATTATTCTCATGTTTTCGCATTCAGTTTGTAAATAACAATAAAACAATTGTTTTGTTTTCTTTAGGTTGTAGCAGTGTACGGGACGTTGTCTGATTTATTGTCTGTGGCGAGCAATAAGCTGGGAATCAAAGCCTCTAGTTTATATAATGGAAAGGGTGGTCTAATAGATGATATTGCCCTCATTCGGTAAGATTCCACCACAGCTGTTATTTAAAAACTCATGTATCGCGAGATTTGAGTTTGATTTGTTTACATGTCTTTTGCAGGGATGACGATGTCTTGTATGTGTCAGAAGGAGATCCATTTATTGGTGAGTATCTTGGAGATAATGTAAATAAAACAACATACTAAATCAACATGGTTTCATGCATTTATCTGTTCTTGCTCAGACCCGCAGACTGAAAGCAAAGTAGCATCTGGGCAGCATGGAGCACACACTGACTGGCTAACCCTCAATATTGGTGGTCGCCTCTTCACCACCACCAGGTATCTGAGGTGTCAGAAGGCCTTTACACCTAAATGTTTCAGATCACCAAATAAATAACAGTCATCACAAAAGCTAGTAGTGAGACAATCAGTTATTAGGTTTAGAGGCCAGGCTGAACTTGATAACTTGTCTTTTTAAGATGAAATCATCATCTGAAAACTGCATTTTCACAGCACTGGATGATTCTGGTATATTTTTTTATTTTAATTTCAAATGATCTGCTTCCTGTCCAGGAGCACCTTGGTCAGCAAGGAGCCAGAAAGCATGCTTGCTCACATGTTCTGTGAAAAAGGTACTGAGGAGTATGATGGCACATTCATTTATGTGAACAATTTTTCTGAACGGACTAACCATCCTTTGTGCTTGCATCAGATGTTTGGGGTAATAAACAAGACAAGCATGGGGCTTACTTAATTGACCGCAGCCCTGAATACTTTGAACCTATTCTCAACTACCTGAGACACGGTCAGCTCATAATCAATGAAGGCTTAAATATACGAGGTAATTTCGTGGATCAGAGACGAAAGGTTCCCAGGTCTCTTAAACTGCAAATATCAAAAGAATTCAAACAGTTAGAGACACGACGTCTTCCTCATCATTGTCTTCCAGGTGTGCTGGAGGAGGCTCGGTTCTTTGGAATTGAGCAGCTGGCTGAACAGCTGGAAGTAGCAATTAAAGTAACGCGAAATTCCTCAAATTTAGATCAGTTTGAATTTACCGTGATTTACACGTTTCTGCTTTCCATACAGAACTGTCAGCCACCCGAGGACCACTCTCCCATTTCTCGGAAGGAGTTTGTACGTTTTCTTTTGGCAACTTCTACCAAGTCAGAGCTCCGCTGTCAGGTACAGCTGACCAAAATGTTTCATCCCACAATCCAGTGAAGATGTTGTGTTTTCTATTTAACATCCTGTCGATCATATTTTCAGGGTCTTAACTTCAGTGGTACTGATCTGTCCAGACTTGATCTGCGTTATATCAATTTCAAGATGGCTAATCTTAGCCGCTGTAATCTGGCCCATGCTAATCTGTGCTGCTCCAATCTGGAGCGGGCCGACCTTTCTGGAGCCAACCTGGATGTGAGTGTGGACGTTAATAGGAAAGTCTCATGGTTCCACACCGGAGATGCAAATGTTTTTCTTCTTCTGCCTTCATCTGGTGTGTTTTTTGTCTCTATGGCCTGCGTTGTTGTTTTTAAGGGAACTAACTTACAAGGGGTTAAGATGCTCTGTTGCAATGCTGAGGGAGCTTCTCTCAAAGGATGCAACTTTGAAGATCCATCCGGACTGAAGGCCAATCTGGAAGGTCACACGTTTTTGTCCGTCTTTGTCTCGTGAAAGACTTTAGTGCGTATCTCATTTTGACAGTATGCCTTTATTATCAGGTGCAAACTTGAAAGGAGTGGACATGGAAGGGAGCCAGATGACCGGGATCAACCTGCGTGTGGCCACTCTCAAAAATGCAAAACTCAAGAACTGCAACCTGCGGGGAGCCACTTTAGCAGGGACGGATCTGGAGGTGAATTAAAGCTGTCAGATGGGATTATCTTTGAAAGCAGCTATGGAAGTGAGTCAGAGGGCGGGCTTACATTGGCCATCAGTGAAAGGGCAAAAATGAATAGAGTAACTCAACATAGTTTTAGCCAAATTGTTTAAGGTTAATTTATCATCAGAGCCACTGCACCTGTCAAAGGTTAAATCAAACTAAAACGACACGACAAAGATGGCACCTACAGTGTTGTGACGCTTGGTGCTTCAGCTGTGTTCAGAGCTCTGGTCAGATTCATCATTACTAAGATGTTTTTAGACAAGTTGGGATTTTCTCCGTAAAACTGACAAATAACTGTTTTACCCAATATAATAAGATCCATTCAGATGAGACGTTCTTTAGCTCATGACTACCCGTAGGGTAGACCCGTAGGGAAATGCCGTGGTCATAAAACAACCACATTCCCCTCAAGTTTCCCCACAGTTTATGTGAACTATTATTTTATAAGCAAAACTTTGTTGTCTTCTGTTGAGAACGACCCGTTCAGCTTGGATGCAGCAGGGTGAAGCAGCACTTTGCTGCTGATGTTTACAACAGAATTCATTTGAAAATAACTGCTGCCTTTTCATTTTCTTCCTCAGAACTGCGATTTGTCTGGTTGTGATCTACAAGAGGCCAACCTGCGTGGGTCCAATGTGAAAGGAGCCATTTTTGAAGAGATGCTGACTCCTCTGCACATGTCTCAGAGTGTCAGATAACTCGCCTGCACACACCTGAGAGTCCAGCTTGCTTCTTTTTCGTCCTCTTTTGTTGTCCCACCAGTCTATCATCTTTAATCTTGCTCTACCTGTCTGTGAGCAGGTACTTGGATGCACATCCCCTAGCATCCTGCCAATAGAACACTAGCTTTAAATATCTTGCACTAGAAAGGATCCAGGGATGTGTTCAGCTGCATATTTCACCAAAACAGTAAATGTTCCTCCTGTGTGTCTGGATGTTGTTCAGTGATTCTAGCTTTTTAATATTTAGCATTATTTATTTTTATTTTATTTAACGTGACATGTAACTAAGAGCTCAAATCAGATTATAGGCGAACATGAGCTTCACTAAACGCTGCTGTAGCAGAAAGACAAGGGGTTGTTTTACCATAAACTGTGTCCACACACAATAGATTCCTCCTTAAGTGTGTTACTTAATTTTGCTGGATTTAATAATCAATGTAAGCCAAAGCCATACTGTACAGCAGCACAGTCTAAAAGGCTATAAGTGTTGTGAGTGCGTCACCAAACTATGCTACAGACAAGCTCTAAACACCGGTTAAATATGCAATACCTGGTTAGAGCTGTAATGGTCCTCCTCTCCTCCTTTTCACGTTTCTTTTCTTATCTGTGAATCTACCTCCTTTAGTTATGTGGCGTGTGTACGGTCCACAGTTGCATGCATTTTAACATGATGCATTTTTTAAATAATCTGATTCACATTTTGAGACGATCTTGTGCAGGAAGCCTTTCCCACGTGCTTGTATGGTGAACATGTGTTTGCAGTGTTCTCCTTATACCAATGTAAACCACTTCATCCTGCTCTAAATCTATTTGCACACCTGTATGTTAACCCGTTACACGGCAGACGTCACCAAGAGGGTTTGTTGCTTTTTAACGTACGTTCATGTTAAAACAAATTCGGTGCTTCCAGAACTTCCCCTGAAAGGAACCCAGTCTTGGTGAGCGCCGTTCGGTGTCTGCAGGTTCATGTCAGTGGTCTCACCGTGTTTGTTTGCATGCATCAGGAACTTTGTTTGTCTGTGATGTGTTACGTTTCTCCAGCTCAAAGCTGCGCCAGTGCAATACTCTTATTATTCACTCTGTCAAATCGTAGGAACTCGGTTGTGGGAATGAATGATGAAGGCAATCCTGTTGTGTATTTTGACTGGTAAGGTAAAATCAATGGATGCGCTGCGGTTGTTTTAGTGCGCCTCACTGAATGCAATATGGAGGCAGATTTGTGATTTTCTGGGGAAGCGGTGTAGTTGTCTCTGATTATTGCACTCTGCTATGGGAATGTTTCCTTCTGATGACTGTTAAAATAAACATCTACAAAGAGGAAACAGTTTGTCTGATTTGCTGTGCATCTAATCCAGACTAACTTTATTTACACAGCTAATTACATCATTCAGCATAGGATTAAAGTAAATTACAGGTAAAAGAAGTGAAATGGTCTTTATTTGTACAGTGCCTTAGGGTTCTACATCCTCCCCAAGGCGCTTCACAAAACATTCACACACACATTCACACACTGGTGGGGATGAACTACGATGTAGCCACAGCTGCCCTGGGCCATGTTAACATGCTCAAGGTTTTCAAAGCCCAAAGAGAAATGATGGGTTCCTATTGGGGTGTGTGTGTGTGTGTGTGTGTGTGTGGGGGGGGGGCAGATTCCACATTTTCCCTCCGAGTCTGCGCTTGATCCCAGAAACACTCAGGAGGAGCTGATCAGCTGAGTGGAGGGAGTGTAGCGTCTCCAGAGGACATGTAGGGTGATGAAAGCAAACAAAATCACTTTTAAATAAACAGACAACCCGTTGGATGAGGCTAACAAATCAGTGATGTCATTCATGTATCTGTTTGCTCTGTGTTATAGTTTTACACCATCTGAGCATAAATGCATCATCGTTAACATCTGGATGTGTCCAGCTGTTTGTTGAGTACTGTAACCTTTTAGGTGGCTCAGTGGGTTGCCGGTGATGCAGCTTTATCCCACTTGATGGCCCTCCTGGAGTGAGCTGGTTAGGGTTAGGGGAAAAAACAAATGTAACTCATGCTTATTTAAAGCCAACTGTGCAGCACATAGAGGCTCATAGAGGACAGCAGACTGGATCAGACGAGTTCAGGTAAAGAAAAGCTGGAAGTTTTAGTTTGTCTCCCTCAGAATGGCTTTAAAAACCCTTGTTCTGCGGCTGCTGCTGGTGGGGGCTGTGGTGCCACTGGTCTGCTGTCAGCACTGGTCCTTTGGGCTGAGCCCAGGAGGGAAGAGGGAACTGGACGGCTTCCAGAGCACACTGGACAACGTAAGCATCTCATCTCAGAGCTATTTCCCTTCTTTTATTACTTATTACTCAGTTTTCATAAAAATCCCAAATTTTTGGGTGTTTTTTCCATTCTGACAGATAGTCGAGGGGTTTTCACACATGGATGCACCTTGTACTGTGCTACGCTGTGAAGAGGACTCTCCTTTAGCCAAAATATACAGAATGAAAGGATTTCTTGTAAGTTTTCCCATTTGTAATAAAATCTGACTGAAGGCATGACTGTCGTGGTTCTGATAAGACTTGACTCTCCCTGTCTTTTCTTCCAGGGAAGTGTCAGTGACGGGGGAAATGGACACAAAGTATATAAGAAATAATATTTATTGTGTTAATAAATTATTGTTTGAGAACATCACACAAGTGGTTGCTGCATGGTATTTATTTATTTATTTATTTATTTATTTATTTATTTATTTATGTGTATCCAGATGACAAACTGGCTACAGAGTCCTTTGCTTTAGGTATTCTGGTGCTTTCTTTAGTCCTTGTCTCCTGTTATCCTGTTGATGATAAGACATTAGTCAGAGTCCACGCCTGAGACAAGACATTATCTAATTAAAAATGTTAACATGTTTGAGACATTTTGAATGTATTTATGAATAATACATTGGACCACCAGCTGTCCCACCTAATCGTGTTCCACACACACGTACGATCAGCACCTTGTGTCTGGAGAACAACAGGAATACGATATTCAGAGATAAATGTTAAAACTCCTGTCAGAGAAGTGCGCCGATTTCAGCAACTTTAATTAGATAAAGTCTTGAGGAGTGGTCTAATCTTCCATTGTCACTGTAATAGGTTAGATTTAAACTCCGAAGAGAGCAGAAAAATCTATTCATATCCCATCGTCTAATCCTGAACTCAACACCTAATTTTGTTGTTTGTTTTATACTCGTGCTTGTTTATGTTCTCGTATTTTATTCTGTTTTATTGTGAAACACGTTTTATTTTCTGTGTAAAGTGCTATAGAAATAAAAGTTACTTACACTGCTCACGGAGGTCAACCCTTAAAAGAGCCAACCTACAGTATGCTTTTCCAGATGTAGTATGTCTGTGTCCTTTATGCTGCACAGTTCTGGAAACACAAGTTTCCTTTTTTATTTGTTGTTTTAGTGGTTGAAGGTTACAATATTAGATTACTTTAATCTTATTTTTTTCTTCTTTCGTTTGTGTGTGCTGCTGTAATGAGTGATTTTCCCCTCTGTGGGATTAATAAAGTCAATTAGATTAGATTTGATTTGATTGGATCAGAGTTGGACTGAAACACTTGTTGTTTAACAGGTTTTGTGTGAACAGAATTACAGACATGAAAACCTGACGACAAACTTATGACAGACAACCCAATCCCTAAAAACAGCTGTTGGATCTCACAGTCGTGGATTATTACACCCAGCCTGATTTAAGGATGGAGGCTGTCAGAACAAATAATTAAATTATTTTACAGTTAGAATATTATTTCAACAAATACGTTAACCTTTAGCTTCAACAGGGTTGTGGGATCGAGTCCCACTCAGTCTGCTGCAGTCTTTGTGTTCTTGGGCACGTCACTAGACCTGTCTCACCTGCTGGTGGTGGTCAGAGGGACCGGTGATGCCTGTGCTCAGCAGCCTTGCTTCTGTCAGTGCGCTCTGGGGCAGCAGCATCACCAGCGTGTGAATGGATGATTCATTGTGTAAAGCGTTTTGGAGTCCTCTGACTCAGGAAGAGCTATTCTAGTGCGGGTCATTAATCATATCATTAATGTTTCTGCCACCAGAGGGAAGCCGACATCACAACAACACCCCAAGTCTTCAGTCTGCCTCAAACATCTGCATGAACTGCTGCTACTAATCTCGTTTTTCCTCATATTCTCTCAGAAGCAGACTTAATAAAACATTTTAAGATATTGTGTTTATAATAAGAAGAAAATGTGCCTCGAGCTGTTTTTATTGGCTCATTTTTTTATTTCCTTGCCTCGTGTACACTCTGTAATTTCCTCTGGATTATAAAGTTGATTAATTATTATTAGATAGTCAACAAGACATTTATTTGACATGCTTGCCAGCACAGCATGAAGACTAAACAAACTGAGTTAGAAATCGAAGTTTATTCATCTTGGTGATTTGACGGGAAAACAACAGCCTGTAATATCCTGCTGATGAACCAACAGGGTGAACAACGCTTATCTTCATAGGAAAATGTTATTAATCAGCACACGCACATGATAGAGGATTGTTTGTATTTGTTCCACAATACTGATCTTATTGCAGCTGCATTCACTGACTCACCACCTCATGCACACATCCATCCATCTGTTTTACGTTGTTGTCCATGTCATGAAGGTTCCAGATCCAGGAGGGAAGCTCAGACATCATCTCATCCTAGCAGCACTCTTCAGCTCCCAGTAAGGCTTCTTTATCAGAGAAGAATAATCACATCCCTCCACAGAGGCCTCCTCCCAGGGAGGGGGCAGTGAGCAGAAGGGCGACCATTAACCATCCTAATACATCCATCTGTCACATCCAACTATCACTGTTCAATGTTACACCAACACACCCCAACTCTTCTGCTAGAGGCAGAGATTTACCCCAACCCAGAGGAGACATTCCTCCCTTTATGCTGGCAGAGACAGCATGAACAACATGCTATAGTCCTGAGGGGGTGCAGCTCTTGCTTTGGTTGTAGAGACCAGAGAGTCCTCATGAGCGACCCCATCAGAAATCCCTAGAGGAAAAGCTGCAGCAGGACATAAATCATTGTCAAGATCAATGCCTACTGTAACACTTTCTCCGTGCCCATCGGCTCTGCATAGTGGAATCAAAGGCTAACAACAAAAGATGCTTGTTGTTAATCCAGAACCATGAATTCTTCTATTCTTTCAAACTCAAATATTGTCGCCTACGATGACTACAAACAGCAACAATGGAAGCTGCAGAAATGCACCCTGCTGAGCATCGACTCTTACAGCCATAAAGTCCTCTAATTACTTCTAATTAGTTTCACAGAGACCAGCGATACACATTTAACCTATCAGAGACAACACTGAAGGGTGGTTTCAGTACATAGAGGCTCTGTGTGTTCAGCAGACCTAGAAATCTGGATGAACACTGATGCACCCCAGCCTTGTGCTCCACAATATTTCCAGATTCATAATAAAACCTGAAACAGGCAGGGGAGTTTAGGATTCAGGCCTCTTGTTTGGATTACTTGTGCATTATCCAGACCTTGTTTATTCGCAGGTTATCCTAAACTGTGGTAGGCAATCCTGGTCTAAGAGTGACTCTGTCCAGCATGTTTTAGTTGTTTCTCTGCTCCAGAACCAGTAGGTGATCAACAGACTTCAGCAGAGCTTGATAACCTGGTGAAAAGGTGAATCACCCATTCAATTAGGTGTGCTGCAGCAGGGAAACAACTAAAACATGCTGGATGGTGGCTCTGGAGGACCAGGATTGCCTAACCATTGCAGATTCATGCTGAAACAATATCCAGTATAGGGTTAGATCTGAGATGGTTTGATTTGACCTGTAAATGACTGTTTGCTACATGTGTTAATGACCTGGATGACTGTGGACCTTCACCAGTTGACATATGTTAATATTCTACCAAAAATACCCAGTTTTGAGCGCCATCTTTGTCCATAAAGATCCTCTTATGTTGAGGAGAGATGGCACACTGGCAACTTTATATCTCACCTAATATCACGAGTTCTGACACAGTCCTTCAGCACTCTGGTGGCATGTTGTGAATGACTGTTAGCTAGTATTGGCTGAATATCTGTAGAATGTATTGAATTATACCCATTTCTGTGTTTGCAACTGTTGATTAGCCTTGAGTTGGGTTGAATCAAAAGTTAACTAGCTTTAAGAGATCATGCATGAGCTGTCAGAGAAACATGCACAGGCACAGAGAAACATCATCTTCAGAAAATACAAAGAAGGATAAATATTGTTCTGCTCTTCATTAGAGAATCGGATAAAAAAAACGATTCGGAAAATCTAAATGTTCTAAATAACAGCTTGAAGCAAATCCTTGGCCAACTAGTTCCTGTTGTTCCTGTGATCTGCAGATTGCTTATATGAGAATGTGTCTAAATTAAAATGCAGGGAGCTAGGATGCTAATGTTTTTGGAACAGCTCCACTGACAGTCTGGCCCGGTGGACTCATTAAGTGTTTGTCTCCAGCTGAGCTTCATTTCATAGCCCAGTAATGTGCCCCAAGCTCAGCTGCAATGGCTAACAGCACAAAACAGCATCATTCAAGTTCCACTCGTTGCCAAGTGCTACTGGAGCGTGTCAGCACCTCCGGCACGTTGGCGTCTTTATTCCTAACCAGAAGAGGGCTGTTTCCTTCTCAGTGATTTGTTAAACGAGGAGACAGGTGAGAGGAAGGAATTATAAAAGAGCAGGAGACATTTGCAGACTACAAAGGTCACTTCGGGACCAAGAGAGCGGAAGAACGCAGCATAAGGACGAGGACCTGTGAGAGCTCTCGCAGACTAAAGCTTCTTTGGAGATCAACTAATTGAGTTTTCTTTGGAGAAATCACCAAACCTTAAAAGGCATTTAACAAAAGATTTGTACGTTTTCATTTCTTCCCTAATTGCATTTTTGTCTTTTATGAAAAAAGGTTTTAATGGCTTTCAGACATAAATGATAATCATGATTCCCATTAGCCTCCAGAATGTTTTCCTCCCACCCCGTGCAGTTTAACATCCGATGCACAACAAGAATATTAACTCAATATCAGAAGAACATCCAAAAGGTTTATAATCCTAGACGCTGCACTCAGTAATGCACAGAGTGAATTATTTATATCAGGAAGATGTTTTTCTTTTTCATAATAAACTAACGTCATAATGATCAAGTATTGATTTAGCTGTTGTTTAAAAGTCAGATCTATAATTTCTAATAAGTTAAAGGAAGGTGAGTGCTTAACAATTCATCTGGACATGTTTTAAAGTTTAAAAAATTGTGTAACTGATGTTTAAAACGTACTTTTCATTTGCAGTCATTTTAAAAACACAGATGAAGAGGTTTCTTGTATACAATTCCATTACTACTAGCTTCTTTTACTCTTCTTTTTTTTTTGCTTCTCTTTCAGCAGTTTTTGAAAAAACTCGTGCAAAGAAATAAATCTAAGCCTGGAGCTTGATGGAGAATGGTGTGCTGACTTATTCTCATTGTTTTCTCTTCCAAACTGGAGGTTAAGCCTCTTTTTAAACCTGTCAGAGCTCCTAAATAAAACTCAAAGACATCCAGAAAAGTAAGTGGGTGACCATCAGCCCTTTTGCCCTTTGTGGTTTAAATTTCCTTTCAGGGATGGTTATTGATTTCACACAAACCTGTATGTGTGAGGCTCTATTTTTATTGACAATGCGCCCGGGTTTCTTCGTGGTCACCATTGTGACTACAATGAGTGAACAGCATCGGTTTTAACATTTCTGTTGTCCGTGAGTAATGCTTCAAAAAACTGTTATTTTTGAAAAATCACAAGTAAAATAATCAGCAAACTCAAAATATATGTTCTTTAAAGTTTAAAATCCAGAACTGGTTGTTTAAAACGGCTTTTGGGAGTTTAAAAGAAAACTTTTGACATTTTCAAAGCAGACCACTGACCGTGAAAAGATGCAGATTCATGACAAAAGTGGACCAAGAAAACAAATCCGATTTTTTAAGTTTCTTGCAAAATCATGAAGATGGGTGAACAATAAATCTGTAAAGTTTGTTTCTACCCAGTGTGGTTTATAATGCACAAACACAGTGATGCTCCAACCCCCAGTGACCAGAGGTCTAAAACAAATACGACAACACAGGCTTCATCGTTAAACATAAAGTAAATGATTTAATGCAATTAAACAAGCACAAAGTGACTGCCAGCACTCTCTATGCCAGAAGTGCTCTTTATTTGGTCATGTCATGTGATACGCGTACATCAGTAGAAATCTGCCCCAACAAAGTCCTCAGTGTCACTTTTATGTAGTTTTACTGCAGCTGATATATGACGGTAGAGTGACACATTGGATCCCACACACAGTATATTCATCCTGGAGTTCAGACCTGAGCTGACAGCATGTCCACAGCTCTTACCAAGGGTCTCTCTAGGACCGGTACAGCGGTGGAGCTGGTTACAGCAAAAAACAAAAGCATTAAGACAACGTCAGCAATATACGGTATAGACGCTTATGTCACATCCAATGTCTCCTTCAGCTGTGAGAGAAGCTTTTTGGCTCATAATCACTACCACATCACTATCCTCTCACTATTTTCACCAATAAAGTTAGCATAGCACAGCTGAATGAAAGCGAACATTTGTTTTGCATTCTCCGGTGGTTAGACACTTTTATAGCTGGTAAAAGTGTCTGAGGCTTCAGATAAGAGCTGATATTTATATAAACATGACTTCTGAATAGATGTCATAGGTTTGGAGAGAAAACAACAGTTAACGGGTTCTCTTTGTTTGTGTGAGCACATGGTTTGAAAATGCTGGCCCTATGAGCTCATGAAAGTGTCTTTGGTCATGTAACAATGGTTTGACTTGTCCAACCTTTGCTCCTTTATTGTGTCATCTACTTCCCCTCAAATATGAGCTCACAATTAATCAGAAACACTGAACCAATCTGGCCAAATGTCCGCAATGCGTGTTTCAACACAGTCCTCCTTTTGTGTAGAAAGCAACATAATCTCCAAACGATGACCAGGTGTTGGTTTCTTTGTCTCTTCGGTGGGGCTTGGGTTTATGTGTTGACAGTGATGGATCCATTACTTAAAACTGACCCTTTTGTGACCTCTGTGCTCACCGTGGAGAGCGGGACGCTCTCGTACCTATCCCCTGCTCCCCAGCAGCGACAGCGCAACATGGTGGACTTGAGCTGCTTCTGGAAGTTGCTGTTGAGGAAACCGTAGATGATAGGGTTGACACATGTGGAGACCATAGCTGTGAGGTGGCAGAATGAAAAGATTATGTCATGGCCACAGGATGGGATAGCCTCGTGGTTCCAGTCAAACACCGTGTTGAAGACATTGAGAGGGAGCCAGGCGAGGGCGAACGCCACCACAATGGAGATGAGCATGGCGTTGATCCTCGTGGCACCCTTGTTCTTCTTCTGAGTTGTGTTTCTGCCACGTTCCACCATGTCCTTCCTCCTCCTCAGGCGCAGGTAGACGTGCAGGTAACAGACGAGAATGAGGGCAAGGGGAAGGAAGTACTGAAAGACAAGCAGGGAGGTGGTGTAAGCACGCCGTTTTTGAACAGATGGCCACAGCTCCATACATATCAGGTGGTCACTGACGGGGATGGGGAGGCTCAGGTTCTGGAAAGGCAACGTAAGTACGCTGTACTTGAGTAAAGGCACAGAGATTAGGCAGGCCACGATCCAGGTGACAACCACTGCCAGGTAGGACTGGCCCACCAATGGTTTCCATCCAGTCGGGTGGACAATGAGCTGGTAGCGCTCCATGGCAATGAGGACAAGGGAGAAGATAGAGACAGTGACAGAAATGCACTGAATGAATGGTGTGAGTTTGCACAAAGCATCTCCCAGGATCCATCGGTCCATCAGTGTGTAGATGATAGTGACTGGAAGGCATATAATGCACATCAGAATGTCTGAGCAAGACAAGTTGGCGATGAAGATGTTGGTGACATTCTGCATCTCTTTGTGCCGTGTGATGACAAACACCAGACAGGAGTTCCCGATGAGGCCCACCGCCATCACCATGCTGTACGCGATGATGAGGAGAGTGGTGCCGCTAACAGAGGGTGAGCAGTCGTCAGTGGAGTCCCACGGTATCTCTCTCCACTGGGCTTGGTTGTGATTGGTGTAGTGCTGCAGCTCCATGGTGGCTTTTTTAGGCTTGGCTAAGAGCCAGAGGAGAAGCCAATCTAATTTGTGACACTTGTTGTAATTACTTCACGAATATTTGCATCTTTCACTTTTCCCTGATCCATAATCTCAAGTAGTCTTTGTGCAGCCTAAAAAGAAGAAGAAAAGAAGGTAAGCTGAACAAATGAGGCTTGTTAAATAGCTGCAGCGGAACAGAGAATCCCCTAAAATGTTTTTCTGCCATTTTTGCTGTCATTTTGCAGCCATTCTGTGCAAAAGTGATAAATAACGACAATCTAACCAGAAGAATGGCTTCCTGAGTGCCTTTCCCTGCAGACAGTTTTAACATCCTATACAGGACATCGTCTAAGCAAAAATCAGGAAGTAGATTGCTAACCTCTTTTTTACCTGATATTTTCTAATTCGCTCCAACCTTTTATTGAAATGAGCAAATCAGATTCTGTTATTGCTATCAGACTCTTAACCCTGCCGCACATTTGGGCGTTATAGACAAATGTCTGTTACTGCAATATGTTTCTTGTTTTTCCATTTAGTGCACACTGGCAGTGGATTTAATATCAGAAAACGAAAATTTTATGAGGGAAATAAATATAGTTGTGAGGCAGATATGAGGTTGTGAGAAGAACACATCATCTATTCGTCCTCTGGAGTGCATGCTATAAGAATAACTGATGAAACCTCATCAGAACTCGAAGCAATGCCATAATAGCCTGCTGATTTAAACTTCCATCACAATAACATTGATAATGAGAAAAATCATTTCCTCTCTTGACTGTGGGAATTTATTCTAAACATTCACAGCAGCTCCCAGTCCCAATGTGTGGTCCTGAAAGACCCCAACAGCACAAATTAATGGACCAGAAATACAATTTCATTACAATAAGATCAAGAATATCTAAATCATGTGTGCAGACAATCTGCATGCACATTTCTGACAGCGCAGCATCAACAGATAAACCGATGGAAATGGTTTGCTCTTGACTTGATTCCCCCAGATGTTAGTTTTCCAACAAAGAAATGCAAACATCTGGGATTGGAAATATTCATCATTTTTAACAGAGGACTCTTCAACGATGATAAATGTTGACAGGTAGGGCATTAATCGCTTGTGGCTGTCTCTGTTATGAGCCGTAATGACCTATTAGGATGTGCGGTTTTCATCTGCGGTAATTAGTCAGAGTCCTTCAGACAAACAAACAAAAATGTGGCTGCAAAATCATTTCAGTCTGAACCGTGTGTGTGTGTGTGTGTGTGTGTGTGTGTGTGTGTGTGTGTGTGTGTGTGTGTGTCCTGCAGCCTTTGATGCTGATTATTTATGGCAGTATTTGGACACTTAACGTCACGTGTGTTGTGTCTGCTGGCAGGACAAGCCATGCAGTGAGAAAATCTGCATTTCTCATCAAAGGTTGCCTTGTTTAGTGTTTAGTCATATTATCAAACTATAACATACAGGATCAAATAGTGATGATCAGACATCGAACCCTTAGGAAATGGTCTGTCCTGTGTCTGCAGCCGTCTGATCGAGCCTCAGCTGTAGCTCTGACAGGTATGGGGACCCCTGAGTCCCTGTCCGAGTGAGACTCAATCCTAATTTAATTTAGACCAGAATTAAAGGAGAAGAAACCACGACCATCAACGCGTTATCTCCACTTTGCGCACAACAGAGGTGAATAGAAAAAGTCCCACGAGCCCAAAAAAGTAAACATTACATTTTATTAAAGTCTACCAGACCCCCGCAGTATATTACTCTAACGTGCATTCCCATTACACATGAAAAAAATGATACGGCGTTTCTTACCGGAATCTTTTTCCTTCTAGGACTTCTCGATCAGTTTTGCGCACAAGTTGCGACACTTTGAGGAAGAGGAGGTTTGTGTGCGCCCAGGTTTACTGCTAGGAGCGGAGATTTCCGTTAAAGCGACCTCGGACTGGCTGAGATGTGATTGGGAACATCTTACATAATAACTTCTCCGTGGCTAGCGCGCGCGGTGGGGCGCGTGAACAGTCGGGCGCAGGCACGCGCCAGCAAAGGGGGGCCAATGAGGAAATTGAGTTATTGGTAGTCTGCTTCAGTCACCTGAAGCGCAGAAATGTACAAGTAAAGCCATTAAAGGAAATCACGTTAGGACCGCTGAGAGTGCGCCTATTGATTTTTTATATAAAACAGAAGTTGATGTGATATCAGGTAATGTAATATTTATGGATCAGAGCTCAGCGGGGATCCAAAACCATGGGAGTGCTTTCTGTCCACTCTAACGTTCTAAAAAGTTCACTAGAATTATGCTGGTTTGAAGAGATGCTACTCAGAAAATCAAAACATTTTTTTTCAAACAATATTTGGTTCCCTAATGACCGTTTCATTAGGTCCACTTTTCATATTAGGCCGCTCTTTTCCTTCAAAACTGCATTAATTAGACTGTTTTTCATAAAGATTCATCAAGGAGCTGGAAACCTTCCTTAGAGGTTCTGGATCATATTTACTTGACGTCACACATTTCCGTCCATGATGACAATCTTCCGTTCCACCACATCCCAAAGGTTTTGGAATGAGATCTGGTAGTGTAGTAGTAAGAGATAACGTGACATGGTGCATTATCCTGCATGGAAGTATAGCCATAAGAAGATGTGTCAACTGTTCAAGAAGGAATGGACATGGTCAGCAGCAACAGGCTGTATTGAAACCAGGTTCACATGTATGGGGTGCCATTTGTAAAAGTCAGTTGTAACTTAAGAGCAATGTTTTGGATTACTTAGCCTTTATAAGTGAATAATATGGGAGTTCAGTTGTCAAAGTCATATTTTCACCATGTTATTTGTGTATTTATAAATGTTACATTTTCCAACTAAATATTTAGTCAGCTAACTAAATATTTAATTTAGAGTTAAATATTTATTTTACAAACTAAATATTTAGGTCAGATCTAAATATTTAGTTTGTAAACTAAATATTTAGCTCCAAATTAACTATTTATTTTCCCAAATAAATATTTAGATCCCAGTTAAATATTTATTTTGGGGCTAAACCTAAATATTGATTTTGAAAACAAAATGCTTAGCTCCAAAAATATTTAGCTGGGATCTAAATATTTATTTTGGAAAATAAATATTTAATTTGGAGCTAAATATTTGTGTTTTGACTGTGTAAATTCTGGCCTCAGCTTCCCGTTGTTAGTTGATCGGAGTGACGGTGGTGTAATCTTCTGCTTCTATAGTCCATCTGGAGCCAGGTGTTGTTCAGAGGTGCTGTTCTGGTGGTTCTTTGAGCTGCTATTGTCTTGGGCAGCAGTGGCTTAGGAAGTAGAGTGGGTCGTCCAGTAACTGGAAGGTTGTAGGTTGGATCCTGGATGCTGCTGTTGTGTTCTTGAGCAAGACACTCAACCTGCCTTACCTGCTTGGCAGCCTTGCTTTCATCGGCACGCCCCATGGCAGCTGTGGCTAGCATGTGAATGAATAGGTGAATTGTGATTGTGTTGTGAAGCTCCTTGGGCGGTTGTAGAACCCTAAGAACTTGCTATACAAATACAGGCTATTCACCATTTTACCATTTATCTTTCTATCATCTAGATCCAGTCTGGTCATTCTGCTCTGCTCCCAGCAAAACCTTTTCATCAACACACTTGCTGCCCATGGGATATTTTCCCTTCATCAGACATTTACTGTGATAATTACCTCCGGATGCTCATTTTGAAAGTCAAGAGGTTAGTCCTCTTGCATAGGTTTACATCACAGCTTTGCAATCAAAGGATCGTTGGCTAGCAGTGCCACACCACGCTCAGGACAATCCAGACTCTTTTCATGTGTTGTTTCACAGATGTGGAATGGCCTACCAGGCACTACTTGAACAGGGGTGACCTTGTCAATTTTCAAGAAACTCCCAAAGACCCAGCTCTTCAGAGAGCATCTTCTAAACTAGGACCCTCCCTGCACCCTTCCCCCACTCTACTGCACACTCGTTGTTCACTTCCCTTCATGATTCATTATGCTGTTTCACTGCTACTTAGGATTGGCTGATTAGTGTTTGTTGCTAGCCTCAAGAGCAACCTGCTGGCTTCATTTTCACGTGTAAGTCGCTTTGGACAAAAGTGTCTGCTAAATACACAAACATAAACACAAACATAAACACAAACATGAACACAAACACAAACATAAATACAAACATAAACACAAACATGAACACAAACACAAACATAAATACAAACACAAACATAAACACAAACACAAACATAAACACAAACATAAACATAAACACAAACATAAATACAAACACAAACATAAACACAAACACAAACATAAACATAGTCTTCATCACATTTAGATGAGCAAATGTTTTGACTTGTTGATGTATGGCTGATTAAATGTTAAAAAGCAGTTGAAACTACTAAAGTCATTGAATGCACTGGCAAAAAATTAGAATACGTGCAAAAGTCCATTAATTTCAGTAATTCATCTTAGACTGAGAGACCATCTAAAGGCTCAGGAATCCTTTGAGGGTGTCAGTTGATTAGAGTGTGACACTTTGAGTCTAGAATATTGAACCTATTCATTATATTCTAATTGTCTAAGATTTTGAATGTGGGGTTTTCTTATTGCTGTAAGCTATAATCATCAACATTCTAACAATAAAGGCTTGGAATATCTGGCTTTGAAATAAATTAACTTTTGCTCCGCAGACCCAGTGCTGTCTCCATTTTCAGTGTGCTTTTCACATCTAGATCAAGCGAGGCATTTTCACAAATTAAAGCCTCAGTTCAGATCCTTCTGCTGCTCACACCTCAAACTATTTCAAAACCCATTTTTGCACCTCCTTTGCTTGTGCGACAGATTGTTAACTGCTTTTTTTCACACTGTCCCCACACACTCCTGTTTTTTAAGTGGAGGCTGTTTGAAAAAACTGTAATGGCTGTTTGTCTGAGAAGCAGAGCGGTGAAATGGCTCACCTCCACCACCAACAGCTCAGTGGGTGTCTGTTTGAAACAGAAATGGGTATTTCCAGACATCAAATCTATAAGGTGTTAGATTAAGGCAGAGATGCAAAAAGAGGAAGGGTGGATGCCGCCGGATGAGGTGTACTTCAATATATGAAATTCTGAATCAGAATTGTTGGACTTTCTTGTTAAAATGCTGCTGTTTGATAGAAGGAGTGTTGTGTCAGTCACTTCAGTGTGATTGAAAAGCAACTTCACTATAATGACCTGAGGCTAGAGCAGCAAAGCTGTCCTTGGCAGCATTACTGCTATAGAAATATCGCTCACACCAGTGGACGACAGCTGAGGATTTTTCATGAAACATAGTCTCATTACCAAGCATGTGATTCTGCTCTTTGATCACATGTTTTATTTGGTAAATGCTGTTTTACTATTAATCTGTGTCCATTTCAGCTTTGTCTGGATTCAAAAAGAGACTGGGGTTAAAGTGTTTAACAGCGCTGTCAATAGCAAGATATTTTCAATCATTTTTTAATGGTGACGGAGAAATCTGAAATTAGAATGTATATATATATATACACAGAGAGAGAGAGAGAGAGAGAGAGAGAGAGAGAGAGAGAGAGAGAGAGAGAGAGAGAGAGAGAGAGAGAGAGAGAGAGAGAGAGAGAGAGAGAGAGAGAGAGAGAGAGAGAGAGAGAGAGAGAGAGAGAGAGAGAGAGTGGTGCCTTGGTCTGCCTGAGTGTTCCCGGCTCCCGGGTCAGTGGGTTGAAGATTTTTGGAGTCTGTCTGATCAATCCCGGTGGCTGCCTGGTGGGATCTGAGTCCCTGGGCTCGGGTGGGTCCCCGGCGGGGCTGGTCGCCCCTGGGTCCCGGGTCGCTGGGTTTCGGGCTCGGCCGGCTTGGGGGTGGGAGGCTGCGGGCGGGCCTGTGGGCCTGTCGCTGATATCTCCCGGGACTCTGCTGGCTGCTGGTTGTGACCCCCCGGGGCAATCCTCCACGCATCCTGAGAGGGAGCTGAGGCTTTTCTGGTTACAGTCTCCCTGGGGTCCCTGCGCTCTGGGACAGCTCCTGGATCTCTGGGACTTGGAGCTCCCTCCATCTCCTACACATCTTTAGGAGGCAGATCTGTGGCCCCTCACACTCTCTATTGGGCGCTCCTATAGAGAAACCTTACATATACAAGCACGTGTACACACACAGGTGCTCACATGGTGCTCTCATAAGTATGGACTTGGGCATTTTCAACACATGTATTAAGGCTGTGGTTGGCACTCAATGCACTGTGATTTATTATCGTGTGTTTGTTCAGTAAAACAATGTTGATTTTATATTTCTTCATCAGGTTGACACAGTGCTAGCTTGCTCCTGTTGTATTGTTGTGTATCCCCTTCTGGTTTTAGATGCAGACTCTTGTTCATCATTGATTGTTTATTTATGTGAAATTCCCCCCCCCCCCCCCCCCCCCCCCCCGGCTTTTGTCTCTTCCTTTCCCTTTCAACTCTGTGTCTGTGTCTAGTCGGAATTACAAAGCTTTCAAAAGAACAAATAAAAAACTAAAAATAAAAATACCTTGTGGCAAAACAAAAAATATCTGGACGTTTATTCACCTGTGACTGGAGGAGTAAAGGTTTTCTTCATGGATGGAAATGTCGGGTGACATGGGTTTAGAGGTGGCAAACGCATGGAGAGGTGGAGGAGAATGAGGAATTTGTTAAAAAGTATCTGAAATACAAAAAACACAGTATACACACTATAGTGTATATTGGACCGGATAAATGACAGGATACACCAGAACAGTGCTACGCCCTCTGTTGGCCTGGTGGAAAACACTCCCCGAGAGATGGAGAAGTCCAAGAGCAAAACGGCCCTAGCAGTGCGTGTGCGTCTCTCCCTTGTGGAGCTGATGCAGAAGCATTAACTAGGCTTTAAAGGGACAATGTGTAGTTTGCACCGTTAATCTCTGAAAATATCCATTGAAACGTTGTTGAAAATGAATAAAATGATGTCCAGTTGTTGAAACATTTTGGCGGCTTTTCACCGTATAACCATAAAAATCAGGTCTAAAACATATCGTGCACGGGTCCA